ATAAATAAATAAAAGAAGAAATCAATGGTTGAAAGAAAAAAATAGAAAGAAAAAAAACCTGCCTCCCTGGGGTCCAAAAAGTGGAAGGTCAGAACAAGCTCTCTGGTCTGCATGGTTGGCTGTCTGTTCTCTGATGTCAAACAGATCCATAATTACTGACTCAGATTGCTGCGTTTCACTTTATCCTACAGTATGACGCCATGGTTTAGTAATTTCTGTTTTCTCTCATAGGAAGAACAAAGGATTTATAATGAAAATGCACTCCCTTATCTCATACATGCAGCCACACCTATACTTGCAGGTTTATACAAACATATACAAACAAATACTGAGTCATTTTCTTCATTGCCTGAAATTACAGTATGATTTTCTTGGACTTCTACAAAGCAGTGAAGCTCATAGCTAGCCACTTTTACTATGATGCAAAATCATAAGAAATTTTAACTTCTTTGAAGTTGAAATTACTTACTGAAGAGTAAGTAATGCTATGTTCTCTACTTTTGGTTCCATCTTCAAGCTCTTTTTGCTGCTCACAATTTTATCTCCACACTATACTAAATATCTCCAATTGTATATTTGAATTAATTGGTCCAGTTGCTTAAAAGAGCTTTTATCAGTTTTCTTAACTGAGCTGGAGCTGAAGATCCTTTCCACTTTTTCTCGGTGGTGTCTGTGTGGAAAATGAGAACAATTTTTAACAAATTTGAATTAAAAAAAACTGTGAATATTTGCATAGCTGAATGAATAAAAGCTGGTTATGACATGGTAGTACTATCTTTCAGCTATCAAGGATATGCAAAATCATAGAATAATTCAGATTCAAAGGGATCTCTGGAGGTCATCTGGTCCAAACCTCTTCTCAAATCAGAGCCAACTTAGATCACATCGATCAGAGACTTGTCCAATCAAGTTTTGATTAATGCCAAGATTAAGTATTCAAAAACTTCTCTGGACAGTCTTATATCTAGATTAGCATTTTAGTTTGCATCAGGAGTATACTTATGAGGCTAATCATCCCCTCTTTCTGCACTTGGGTTTGCTTTGTGGTCTTGGAGTCACAGACTGTATTTCTTTTCACTGGAAATGAGCAGAATAACGTGTTTCAGGAGAACATCTAAAAACACTGCCATCAGTGAGAGCAATCAATCCACAAATACAAATTACAATTAGTACATATTAAGCTGGTCTCTGAGAAAATACTGTGTGTAGCTCAGACTCCAACTTCAGGAGTTCCACATTATTGGTCCTCTGCTGTGACAAATTATTGTTGCATCAATACAGATCAATTTCTACAGAAAATCTAGAGAAAGAGCAAATAGAAAGATCCTATTACAGGTCCTTGTACCCACTTTTGCTCTACAGCTCTCACGGTGTAACTTTGTTCCTGTGCTAAATCCCTGTTTCATTCTTAACTTCCAATTATTGTGTTCATTAAAAAGCAGGCAACTATTATGGCATTCATTTTAGTAGTTGGAAATTAAGATTTATCACAAAGTCACAAAGTTGTGTCCAGTCTAGGAGTTTTTTACCTGGGATCCCTTATCTCCATGTTTGTGCTTTCTACATAGTGGTACAAAGAGCAATATAATGTTTAAGTTTTCTCAGGCACATAAGGAAAATAGCTTCATTAACACACCTAGTATTTTTACAATTGTTAATGACTTGCTAGTTGTACTTTTTAAAATTATGCTAAAGAGAACAAATAGAAGGAACAGAAATTCTTCAAGATAGATGGAGAAACACTAAGTAAAAAAAAGGCCTTTGAGGTACGCTTCTATTACTACTAAACGCCCAGAAACTGCACTGATTGTGAGCTTTCTACTAGTTAATCAAGATAGACATGAACAGCCATTATTGGCTGTTATGTCACCATTGCTAGACTGAACTGCAGGGTTATTATTGTCCAGGTGGTAAAACTGTTTTACGGTAGTATGAAAAGCTGTGAGGCTGACCACAGTATCGAGGAGAGACAAGGGAAGTTACCTCACATAACTTATGTCCCTGAAAAGACTAAAGAGAAAGGCCAAGTACCTGGTCTTCCTTATCAGAGCTGCATGATTTTAAGCTGAGGTATGAAATTGTCACTGTATGAAAGGGAACTGAATCAGTAAACTGTTTGGGATTTAATGAAGCAAAAAAGAACTTAAGAACAGGAAGATGTGATCTAAGTTAAAACAGTGGTAATACAAGTGATAATCTGGAAGGGGAAATTGGACATACGGGACAGTGACAGTTTAGACGCCAATAAACAAAAAAAGGATGTTTTCTTTTCAATGTAAATAAGTTTCATTAATGTTAATGGAAGATGTCATGGTCACCAATGTATATATATGTACACTGAGATATGTATGCATATGCTCAGAGAAAATACTCCTTAAGGAAACTGGGCAATTCTATTCATAGTGTATTTTATAGGACCCTAGAAAAAGTGAAGTAGGAAGTGCTGCTACATATATTGAAAAGCTCTGTAAAAGAGCCAAATCTTTGATAATGGGGAGAAATGATAACTAGGATTTTAAGGGATTGGGGGTAGGTATTATGAATTGAAGAGGCAAGTTCTAAGAGCTTCCCTTTTCAATCTAGCATTAATTTCCCTGGGTTCAGCTTTAGCCAGCTGCTCTTCATCCAGGTGCTGATTTTGGCTGGAGCATTAGGAGGATAAATGCTATATCCTGTAAAGCATGAAGGAGAATATTTGCATACTCTTTTATGTTTCCCAGAGAATTCAAAATATATGGTGGAAAAATAACAACAGTATCATGTCAATCAACACACTAAGTGTCAGAAAATCTGCAGCATCATTGACTTTCTTTGTCAACAGAAGAACTCTTGACATTATGATCCAGTTGGTTCTTTGTTTGGCTGAATTATTTAGGAATGTTGTTTTGTATCTAAATACCAACAGTAATGAACCTCACTAGACTTCCTGATCATCAGAAATTGACTGTGGTTTCCACATGAGCCTGTCAAAAACTAAACATTACCTGAGAGTTTGTGTCTGACACCCTAGGAAAAGGGTTATTCATTGAAGTATGTTTTTAGGAGAAAGGCAGTGCTGAGGCTTATAGCTCAACCACCGCTCTGCTAATCTTTATTTTACAGTCCTTACTGAATTTGCGTTTTGTAAAAAATATAGGAAAGATATAAAATATATGAAATGATACTTGTTTCTTACTGAAGGTGTAAATGCACTTAAAATAGTCATTGGGATCATGAAATAATGATTACCTCATGGTAGATTGTATGTATACTTGTGGCACAAGATCTTTGTTTCCTCCCTATACCATATAGTAGACAAAACCAACTCAGAAATTTGCCATTAACACTTACTAGAAAAAGACAATACAGTCATTAGTAATAGCCAACGTGGATTCACAAGGATAAAGTCCTCCTTAACTAAAGTAACTTTCTTTTATGACAGTTATCCACTTAGTTGATCAAGTGAAGCCAGCGACTCGAATTTCTAAATTTCAGCAGGGTTTTCAATGCTGGTTATCACAGTATTCTTCTGGACAGAATGTCCAGTATACAGCTAGTCAGGTACACAATATAATAAGTGAACAGTCGGCTGATGGATCAGGCTCAGAGTTATGTTAAACAGGGCTCCCTCAGGCTAACAATCAGTCACTAAGGAAGTTCCACAGGACTCTATTTCAGGGCCAATACTGTTCAATTTTTTATAAATGATCTGGATGCAGGACTTGAATGCATACTAAATAATTTTGCACGTTATAAAATTAGCTGGAGCTGTTGAATCCCTTAAGGGCGGTGAGAGGGCTTGCAGAGAGATCCTGATGAGTTAGAGGGCTGGGCAAACACCAGCCTTACCAAATCTAACTAAAGAGAAATCTGGGATGAAACAAACCTGAGCTGAAGCCTCTGGGCGCACTCAGCGCAGAGCAGAAGAGCTGAGGAGAGCCCTCGTGGTTGCAGCTTCTCACAGAGAGCAGAAGGCAGTGCTGAGCTCTGCTCTGTGTGACAACGACAGGGCCCGAGGGAACGGCATGGAGCTGCGTCAGGGAAGGGGCAGCTGGGGGTCAGGGAAGGGGTCTGCACCAGAGGGCGGTGGGCATGGAAAGGGATGCACAGGGCGGTGGGCATGGCCTGAGCTGCTGAGGTTTGAGAAGCGTTTGGACAGTGCTCTCAGAAATACTGTTTGTATTTTAAGTAGTCCTGTGCAAAGTTAGCAGTCAGACTCAATGGTCCTTGCAGGTTTCTTGTAACTCAGAGTCCATTTGCTGTGTAACTGCTGTCAAATCAGTCACCCCATAGAATTCATCCAAGAAAACAAGAGTAGCATGCAAGGTCCACCCAAGATAAGTACATTATTATATATCTACTGCTGAATAGCTAGCTATTCACAGAATCATAGAATCATGGACTCATCTGGGTTGGAAAAGATCTTTGTGATCATCAGCTCCCACTGTTCACCTTCCCTTATCAGGCCTACCACTAAAATGTGTCCCCAAGGATCCCATTTTCCCTTTCTTTAAGCACCTCTGGGAAACAGCAACATGCACATAACAGCACCAGCTCTGTTTTGAGTAGGAACGAGACTTCATGTGGAACAATCACTTTTAATTTTATTGAAAACGTGTGTGACACCGCTAGAGGCGCCGGGGGCGCCGCCTCTTGCTGGGCGGAGGATCGCGCTGGGCGCTGCCGGCCCTCCTTTTGGTGGGGCGCCTGGGCCTCCTAGCCGAGCGCTTCCTGCCCCGGCCGCGAGTGGAAGGGCCGCGGTTGTAGAGCTGCTCGGAGGGACCGGCTGCCTCGGGACTCGGCTCCTCGCTGGGCTGCTCCCGCTCCCGGGGGCTGGGTGCGGCGGGGAGCTCGCCTGCAACCTCGCTGAGGGCCCCGCTGGACGTGCCGGGAAGCTCCTCTGCGCTGGGGGCGGCGGTATCTTGCGAGGAGGCAGCAGGGTCGGAAGCGGCCGCGGGGCCGTCCTCCTGCGACTGGGCAGCGCCGGGGTCTTCAGGGCTGCCCTGCTGCTCCTGGGCAGTGCTGGAGTCTTCGAGGCCCAGCAGTCTCCGGGCCTCCTGGATGCACAGTCTCTGGATGATTTCAATGATGATCTCAGTGAATGGCATCGCTATGGGTCCCAGCATGCCCTGTAAGCGCTGTGCCAGGGCGTCCCTGTCCAGCCCCACCTGGCACAGGTGTGACACGATCATGTTCTTTAGCCAGTTGATTTGCCACTGGCACAGCACATGGATGTGTGACAACTGCTGCTCAAGCCAGGGCAGCACTGGGTCAAGGATGTCTCGTCTGACCGTGAAAAGTGCTGCCCATTCCTCCGCTAGGAGGCCACCCACCCTCTCTGGCTCTGGAGCAATCAGCTCAGGGGATGGTGGTGGAGGGGGTGAAAGAGATGCCTCAGCACTGTCAGGGCCAGTGGCAGTGATGGTGTCAATGCTGACAGGCATGGGCAGCGCGGGTGGGGAGACAATGCACTCTACGTACAGATTGCCTCCCGGCACAGAGACCCGAATGGTCTGCATGACTGTCCTGCACAGTGGGCAGCTGTTTCTCAACATCGCCCACTGCAGGATGCAGCCAGTGCAGAACATGTGATTACATGGAATCACATAGGCGATGTCCTGTCGCACATCGCGGCAGACAGGACATGTCCATGCATCTTCTGCAGCCATGGTCTTCTTGCTGCAGGGGATGGGAGAACCGAAGATGATGAGTTGTTCTCCTTCAACGCAGCTGCAGCGGTGGTGTCTCGCCCTGCAAGAGGAAGAGAGGTCACAGTCAGTCACTGTCCCAGGATGTGAAAGTCCTCCACAGCCCCTCAGCAGGAAGCCCTCCCAAGCCCATGACTGGGGCATCTCATGCTCCCTGCTGCCACAGGGCCAGACTCCCCACAGCTGCCCTGAGGGACCCAGGTGTCCCCGCACCACTCACCTCTGCTGCTGCGGGTGCGCTCAGTAGGGTCCCAGCTGCCTGAACTAGGCAGGGCCAGGGAAACAGAAGCAATACTGTGGGGTCAGGCACTGAGATGCTGCGAGCAGCCCCAGGCACGACCCAGCACAGCACAGCCAAAACCTTGCTTGACCTCCAGGCCTCGCAGAGCTGCTCAGCACCGTCCAGGAACAAGCCAGACTGAGCCAGGCTCTGCTGGCACCCCACTATGAGCAGTGAGGGCCACACAGTCACAATCCACTGACAGGTGATGTCACAGACTGATAGTCGGTGACATCATAGACTCATCTGGATTGGCAAAGACCTCTAAGACCATCAAGTCCCAATATTAACATAGGTGGTATATATAAATAGCTTACAATGAAATAGAAATTTATGTGGACACTATTAGCTGCTGCAATCCCTTTTGTTTTATAGTAGAAAATGTGTTGATTTCAGATAGTATTTTCTAACCCAGATGTGTTGGCTTAAGTACTTTCATAGGTCCTTTAAGACCACATAACTTTCCATATCAATAGCTATTAACTGAAGTGAAATGGAGCTTCATGTTAGCCTGTCTGAGGAGGCTGAATCAATGTTATTAGGTCTGGGTCCCTACTCCAGAATCTGTGCCTATCCATGCATTGCTCAGCATGTTAGGAGGCAGCCCTGGAGTTTACTTGCTTTGCTGTCCTTCAGTTTGTGACTTGATTTTGTTCTCATGCTCTGCACTCAACCCATGTAGAGGCAGCTCACATATTCCAAACTTCATCTGAGATTCTTGTATCAATTTAAATGTCTCTCATTATTTTTTGTGGCATTATATGTGATGTGATATATAGCTTGGGTAATACTGAAGACCATTGTTGGAAGAAAGGTCCAATAAGAAGTATAATTCTTGCTGAAAAGGCCTGCTTGCTCTAAACAAGGATTATATTTTATTACAACAAACAAACAAACTTTTGTTTTGTAAGCGTACTCTTTATTTTTTTATTTAATGTCCCATTCAGAAACTACTCAACCATTCTATAAATTACATAAGAAATTGGGAAGTCTTTTTTCTTTGGAGGCAGAAGTGATCTGTCAGGAACAGCAGTACAGCAATATTCATCCAATTTTTTTGACCTAGCACCAAAATCTGTAAAGCAATCAGAAGAGGATGTACGCAGAAGACATATGCTGATGTCCTCATCATGCAATGACCAGTTCAAAGGTCATATTTTGTCCTTCTTCAAACACCATGACAGAACCCTGTTTCAAAACACAGGAAATCTTGGTTTTGAACTTCACAGTTGTCACCGGCACTACCTTAAATGTTTCTGAGCCTTGACTCAGGTAACCTGGGTGGTTTTTTTTTGACTGTGTTCATGACTGTGTTCTCTGCTTTGCCCAGACCATGTTTATAAGAAATACACAAAGAAGTGAGCTAAATTCCAACTCTTAAAGGATTTCCCACATAAGAGTTGGGAAATTAAGAGTGCCATCCATAATAACTAATGGATTATGTGAAATTCCCTGTTCTTTTGGAAGTCTTTTTCTATCAGTTGTTAGCAGGCAAAAAAACCTCTGTCTTCCCCTTCCAGAGTGTCAGTTATTTCTTTTATGATAGCATTGCATCATTTGATTTAAGTTCTGAATAACAGACAAGAATATGTTTTGTCATGTTAGTAACAGCAGTTTACAGTGATGATATCATAGATACAGCAATGGCTCTAACAAAGTAATGACAAATACGCTTCCTAAAGTATGTAGGTAGATCTACAAGCTAGTATTCATGCTGTGTTATCAACTTTCTGTGCTTCTTATTAGGACCTTGTGTAAATCATGAAAATAGATGACAGATTTCACACATTAGTCATGGTAAACTGGTAAATTTCGCAATTAGTCATAGACTATTAGAAAACAATCTAGAAATTCAGAGTCTCCTTTCTAATCGATAAAAAGCTACTTAAGATTGTCTTTATAATGAACATGAATTTCACCTTATAATCAACACTTGATTTTTTAATTTAAATAGCAAACACAAAATGCATCTCTTTTGTATACTTTAGATATTTGTTTCTGAAACAAATTTGATTTGTTTTATATACAAACCAGTTTGTAACAGTGACATAGGCCCAATTATTGCATTAAAATCTGCATTCTTTCAGCTTGTAATACTAAATTTGGAATCTTAATGCAATTTCATGTTTAAAAAAATACACTTACATATCATAGTAGTTTTTAAATTACCCAACATTTGTGGTTATTTTGTCAATTTTGTACAGAAACAGCAGTGCCCTAGCCTTCAATTTACTTTACTCTTTGTGTCACTAGATCATTTATTGCTCAACCTACAGTTTGTAAAGATTAAAAACTACTGATCTTCAGCATCTTTTTTTCACTGAATTCACTGCACTGATGGCATGCACTGAAAGTTTTAGTATAAGATCTTTAACATGAATCATGAAGATCACTTTTTTCAGCTCATCTGTCTTCACACTTTGCATCTGTGCCACCCATTTTTGACAACTTTAGTTAACATCACTAGGTATATGTACACACAATTTATATATATATATATATCTGTATGTATATATAGGTTCAGTTTTTTCAAGCTTACAGAATCTTGTAAGGATTTTCTTTTTCTGTTATTTTGTTTTAAGAGAAGCAGTGTCTTCTTATTTGAATCAAGATAAGAAGCAAAAAGTTGAAGTGCTGAAACTTGCTCCTCTGCTCTTTCTGAGATATTATGATTGCGCATATTACAGGGGCAAAACTATTACAAATAGAGTCACAGTTATGAAAATGCTGTTTACAAAACCATTGAAAACACAATAGGATTGAAGAAATAAACAGATGTTTGCATGCCAGCTCTGTGAAGCAGATGTGTTTCATAGATTTATGTACAGAGGAGCGTAAAAACAAACTTGAGTCACTTTGACCTGCAAAAGCCTAGGACTACTCATTATTAAAATATTTTCTTATATGTATTTGAATATCTAAAGGCATATATTTCTGAGACATTCCTCTTGGTTTTGAAGCGATCTTTAGATTGGAAGCATGATGTCTAAAGAGCAGTACAAAAGTATTTTCATAGAAGCTAAAAAGTGGCTGTTTTGGATATCAGTATAGGCTCATTTCACAGTACGAGGAAATCCTTCACTCAGTGGGCTGTGAGGCACTAGCAGAGCTGTCCAGAGAAGCTCGGGGTGTATCATCCCTGGAGGCGTTCATGACCAGGTTGAATGGGGCCCTGGGCAGCTATAACTAACTGGTGGGTGGCAGCCTTGTGCATATGGGAGGGAGTTGGGACTTGTTAGACTTTGAGGTCCCGTCCAATCCAAATCATTTTATGATACAAACATTCATGTTTATGATGAGATTTCAACATATCAGAGTTAATAATTTGTAATTTGCAGCTTTAAAGAGATCAGAAGATAGATGTCAGTTTGTGATTTTTCTTTCTAAAGGCAGTTTGAGGGTGTATTAAAATAGCTATTACTGATTTGCTCAAATACGTCCTAGAAGAAGGAGAGCCTTTTACGTAATCTGAGCAATTCATCACTGGATCAGTTCTTTTAAGGAAAGTTTTCTTGCACATTGTAATCCTTTTACATCACTCGATATATGTTGTGCAGACTGTACTTGAAATAGAAAAAACCATTTGAATTTCTTCAAAGTGGTACTGATTGATTTGAACACTGTTTGCAAGCCTTTTTTTGAACACTTGAATCAGTTTGCAAGCCTTTTGTAAATACCACACAAGTAATGAGATAAGCATAAGAATGGTCACTGTGCTTTGATTTGAAATGAGACTGTCTGTGGGAGGTAAGCAATATGAACTTGTACAGGACCATATGAAGTTACAGAAATACGTGCATGCGGACACCTTTAAAGTGCAGATAGTTCAAGGCTTCTGAAAACATCAAATATATTTGTAAAACAATGCTTTCACTGCAAACATGTTGTGTGCTTCAGCAACTGCTTGTGCAGCACTTGTGCAGTGTCATGGTTTTATGAATTTTCATTATTGTGGAATACTGATAACCAAAAATCATAAAACCATGAGATGCAGAAAAGTTCAGCATTACCTGAGAAGATGAGGCCTGCAGTGCCAGTGCAGAGCAGTTAAATATGTGTTGCTGAAACATTTGGTATTTCTGTAAGCTAGTACACATAGTTGCAAACAGAAGGTCGTACACTGAGAAATTCATGCAAAATTCAAGCAGGCTCTGGCTTCTCCCACCAAGCATTTTTACATGGAGAAAGATTATACACAAAGGAAGTCCTGGAGTCAGCTACAGCTAAACAATGAAAAGAAAGTCTGAGCTGACCAGGTTTGTGGGGCTCTGAGATCTAGGAACCTACATTTTGACATAAAATATCTTTCTTTCAACTGTTAATGTATTTAGTGATAGATTTTTCAATGATGTTTTCCAAACTGACTGAATGATTTTCACTGAAGTTTTCAAACTGCTGTTTGCTATTGAGTTAATAATAACGATAGTAATAATAATATTTAGTGCTAATGATCATAAACTGTAAATAACAGTCTATAAAAATGAAGTTAATAAAAATGAAAAATAAATTTCTTGATATTCTTTGCAGAGCCCTTATCCTAGAAGGAGGCAAACAGGTGTCTCAACTTCCAGCTCTGCTGAAAAATATCAAATCTTTTTCGTCTTTTATTTCTGGTGCATTGCCAACCAGACCTTTCAATTCTCTCATCTGCTTTCCATAAGTATTTTTTTCCTGTTAATGTTTTCCAGAGGTAAGCCACCATTGTAAAAGAGACAAAAGTAGTTTTCTATGAAAGAGGGCAGAACTCCACACTTGTGTATACAGTAAATGTTAAGCCATACAGTCAATCCTATAAATATTAAAATTAATATAAACAAATAAACAAGAATAACAACAAATCTATATGTAGGAAAATACACACTATGCTAAATAAAAGTTCATGTTTCTAGAAAGGTTTCTACACAGCCATTCCCCTTAACTACTTCTCACTCACTGGCACTTTCCACCTTTCTGTCAGCAGTCTTACAAACAAATGAGAAAATAACATGCATTATTATTGCTGTCTTTAATTGTACATCTTTTCCTTTATCCATTGCCTTATAGGTTTCTAACTTGAGCTCTAATTTATGTTGCAGTAAGTGAGCAAGAATGATTCCAAGAGTTAAAAATGAAAAAGATGTCTAAGAAACTGCATAAATACATTTTCTTCAGAGTTGAGTAAGAAGATGACAATTAATTGAATGTAAATGTATGTAACTTGATGTGAAGCAGGAGACTACTTTTCCCATTGACTAGAATTAAATTTGCTATATGGTGTATTTTCAGTGCTGTGGTGTTCTCTGATCAGTTGCAGACAATAAATTCACAAATTGGAAAAAAAAAAAAAGCATCTTTCCATTTTAAGAATCAAATTACCACAGGTATATCTGATGGTAATAGTTGTAAGGTCACAGTAGGGTAGTCTTTCATGCTTTTCTGTTACAATCAAGACTAATTATTATGCAGTATTTTGTGTATGAAAATGTAAATAGGTTGTTCCAAATCTACTGAAAACTACAACCGCTACAAAGGACACAATAAAATTATTTGATAGAGAAAACTCTCAGCTACAAAACACTTTTTTTCAATGTAGTTACCACCACTAACATTGCATTTTCATATGTGATGAACAAGAGTCTGCATGCTGCACTTGTCAGTATCTGCACCAGTGGAGGTGATCCTTTGTTTCACAGCACCTGTGACAGTGTCATTGCTGGGAAAATATTGCCTACACAGCTCATCCTCATTGGCCCAAACAGATGGAAGGTGCCAAATCTGGACTATGCAGTGAGGTTGCAGGAGAGTCCAGCCAAGACTGGAAATATGCTCCACTGTCTTCAAAGTGATATGAGACCTGGTTTTCTTGTGAAAGATTGTCTTCTTGTCTGGACTCACTCTGGAATAATAAAATCATAAAATGGTTTGTGTTGGAAGAGACCTTTAAGATCATCTAGTTCCAACCCTTCCGCTGTAGGCAGGGACACCTCCTCTAGACCAGGTTGCTCAAAGCCCCATCCAGCTTTGAATGCTCCCAGGGAAGGGGCATCCACAACCCCATTGGGAACATGTTCCAGTGTCTCACCACCCTCACAGTAAAGATTTTCTTCCTAATATCTAGTCTAAATCATTAGCATTACAGCAGTATTTTCATAGGCCTGTAAAAGTGGCTGTGTTGTGTTGTGGCCCATGGCAGGTGGTTGGGACTGGCAGTCCTCTGGTGTGAGTGTCAGAAAGTGAATGTGTTTGTTTTGATTGGATTATTTGTTGTCTGGGGCAAATCAAGATTAGATTTTTCTAAATTTGTTCACTACTTACATAATGTGTGGGCTGTAATTAGATATGTGTGGCCCAGTTTAGCAGTGATCGTAAATATCTAATTTCATTCTTATGCAGAAAAAAGTCAGTTTTAAGAATTCAAAGCATTAAAAATTATACAGGCGTGTGCATGCGTGTATGCAATTAAAACAGCAAATGAACAAGTATCCTCCCTGTAAAAGTTCTTGTTACACCTTTTCCTTTGCAATGGAGGGCTAACTGTTCTAATGTTACTTGAGAAATCAAGATTGCAAATATCAGAAAAGGCAGTGAGAGCAAAATTCAACAGAAGTTTTAAAAAATGAAAGAAAAAGTGAAAGAGAATTTACTCATACCAAGGCTGGAACAGGCCTCGCTACCTTAGGGAATTAATTATTGTTCTAAGAAATGGCTTTTGCAGAGGAAGTAAAGCAGTAGCAATAATTATTATTGGCAATTTCTTCATAATCAAAAGTTTCTACTCCAACTTAACCACAGGGGTGTTACCTATATAAGCTAAATTTCATTGAAAGGAATAGGA